AGTTAAGTTGTTTTACATAACAACCAGAAGTCCATAAAGAAAGTTAGGGGAGGGTTGGGAGTGATAACATCTGGTTCTAGAGGGGCTCTTTTCTTTTTTTTATTGTTTTTTATAGTTCTCTTTTAACTGGTTTTGACTACCCTCAGGCAATTTACAGCCCTGGGATATGGCATGGTCAGCTACATTCTAGTGGTTAAAAGCTTCTATTATTTGTCCATTGCAAATAATTCTAGATTTTAGATTTAGAGATATGTCTAACAATTATAAGCACTGCTAGCTAGGCCCAAGGGTACTGGGACATTGTAGCCTCTCCCTCTATTTTCTGGCAGGCATTCACATGGTGGTCAGAAGAAGGGATACAAGGACACTCTCAAAGTCTCTCAAGAATATCGGAATCCATTGTGAGACATGGGAGGCACTGGTAAAAGACCACCTAGTATAGCGTGCCTGCATCAAAGAAGGCTCTATGCTGTATGAGCAAAGCAGAATTACAGTAGCTCAAAAGAAACATGAGATGCACAAATTTAGAGACATCTCCATTCCAAATGTTTATATGGACTATTTGTGCCCATTCTGTGGTAGAGCATTTAGAGCTCATATTGGTCTAATCAACCACAGTCCTACACTCTGCACCTTGACTCCAACATAGCGATGTTAGAGTTGTTCTTGAAGACAACAAAGGAGGAGGGAAGCAATCAAACACTTAGAATGATCAAATTCTCTTTATCACACTCTAGCTTTTTATGTCCTCACCCAGGTACCACAAGGAAAAAAGGATTTAAAGTTTTAAGTTTTAGCTCAAGTCTAGGGACTCCTCAAAGAGAAGAGAGAATAGAAAAATATTCGCTGTACAATGTAAATCATATATGGGAAAGGTATTTATTCAATCCACACAAAAGAAATATTTAATACAAAATAACCTCATAAGTACATATTGACAGAAAAAAACATAAAAAGAAATTAAACATTATAATCATAATGAACATACTTGCCTCGGAAGAAAAAGAAAAATGAACTTCATTGTGTTATTTGTGAACTTGGGGAGAAGGTATAGGTGTGAACCATTTGATGTATTTTCAAACTTAGTAGATATGTTGATTAGTTTTACTGAAATGCTTTTTTTTTCCTTCTTTATTTCTTGTTACAGTGGATTGCATATTGAAATAGTAGGGGCTAGGAAGTGAAGGGCTATATTTAGCAATGTAAATAACAGAATTATTATATCATTTTAAAAAATTCTATTATTAGGAGCAGCTAGATGACACAGTGGATAGAGCATCGGCCCTGGAGCCAGGAGGACCTGAGTTCAAATGTGGCCTCAGACATTTGACACTTACTAGCTGTGTGACCCTGGGCAAGTCGCTTCAATTGCCTCACAAAATTTAAAAAAAAATTCTAATATTAGCTTAAATGTAAAATGCTCTAACTAGAAGGGAATAATCAAAAGAAATAATGGAGGAAAATGCAAACCTAAAAATGGTAACTTTAAATGTGAATGGATTAACAATCCAATAAAAATGAAAGGATGCGACAGAATGGCTAAGAAATTGAAATCCAACTATCTGCTGTATTAAAAAAAACAAAAAAATAAATATATACAAAATGAAAATGAAAGACTGCAATAAAAGGTATCAGACATGAAATGATTCTAAAAATGCTGGCATTGCAACCATGCTATTCATAGTATCATATAAACAAGAAAATGACATTATTTTTAAAGGAAATATAGATAATGGAACAATACGAATACTAAACATAGATGTGCCAAATGAAAGAGCATTTAAATTGGTAAAGAAAATGTTAATTGAATTGATGAGATATAGATAATAACCTGAAAATTCTAAGATATTTAATGTTAATCTCTAAGAGCCAAACAAACCTAACAGAAAATAAATAAAAAAGAAAATACAGAACTAAGTGGACTTTTAGAAGTTAGATCTCAAAGCTTTGTTGTATCTTCTGAATGGTAATATAAAAATATGTTCATATTTCTCAGCACTGTGTGGTACTTTTGCAAAAACAGACAATGTCCTAGACACAGAGAAATTATAAATTCATACGAATTCTCAGGTCAAAGAGAAAATATTGCAAACAGCCAGAAAGAAACAATCCAAGTATCATGGAGCCACAAAAGATTTAGCAGCTTCTACATTAAAGAATCAGGGGCTTGGAATGTGATATATACACATTACAGAGGGCAAAGGAACTAGAATTACAACCAGAATCACCTACCCAGTAAAACTAAGTATAATCCTTCAGGGGAAAAATGGATATTCAATGAGATGGAAGAATTTCAGATATTTGAGAACAAGGGACAAAAAAACATATTATATATTGTAATTACCTTCCATTACGTATCTATAATAATATATGTAATAACAATAGAAATAATATATTATGTAATACAATAGAAATATATAAATGTAATAATACAAAATATATGGTCATAATAATATATATGTAATGGAAGGTAACTACAATGTAGAAAAAAGAAGATAATTCACACACATATACACACACACACACACATACACACACACACACAGAGTAATTCACTGGAGAAAAATGGAAGAATTCAGCAAAATAACAAATAAAGCAGACAAAGTATGACCTTATGACTTCAAAGAGTGATCTTCATTCAAGTAGGAAATTTTCTCTCCTTAACATTTAGTGGGATACAATCTTTCATGAGTAAGTCTCTAGAACGGTCTGTCTTACTGAAGAGGAATAGAAGATCATGAATCCCAATTCACTGTCTAGCACTTGTATCTTTTCTCATGCCTCCCTTGACACATGTCAGCAGGAGTTGGTATGGTTCTTGCTCCTTGTTGCCTTTGATCTCCCCCCAACACTGTGCCTTAGAAACTTGTTCTCCTTTGAGATTCACTACGTCCACAATATCAGTCTGGGGCAGCTAGGTGGCACAGTGAATAGAGCTCTGGCCTTGGAGTCAGGAGGACCTGAGTTCAAATCTGGCCTCAGACACTTAACACTTACTAGCTGTGGGACCTTGGGCAAGTCACTTAACCCCAAACACCTCACCAAAAAACAAAAAAAAAAAAAAACCCAAAAATAAAACACATTATCACTTTGTTGAGATCCTGACAACTATCCTCTCCCTCTTTTCTCAGGGAGTTCAGTACCTAGCTCAAAGTTATATTTCTACTCCAGTCTCTGTCCTTGGGAACATTCAGTTTACAACTTGATGGCACTCTTGTTTTTGAGTTCATAACTTTCTCAGCTCTCTGTATCTTCATTCTTTCTCCAGGTTAAACAACAGGATTATCATTATATATTTGGTGGATTAGCTTTCACATCACAATTTATGTTGATGGGATGTTACTTTCATCATCATTTACAAGTGTCCTAAATCCACAATTCATAACTGAATTTATACTATCTCTCCATAACCTCCATGCACCTTCCTAAACCTATTCTTAACCTTCACTTCGGCTTTTGATCACTCCAACTTCTGTCTGATTTCCCAGGCCATCACCCTTACTCTGGTTTCGGTTTCTTCCCTTTAAAGTCTTGACTCAGTAGTTAACCAGTTCAATTTTGTATTATCCTTCATCCCTAAGTCCTTTGCCCCCTTTTTCTCTTACCTCTGGTCCCTTTGGACTTTTCCCATCCCCTGCTTTCTATGTTCTTATTTGTACACGGCTGAACACCTATGGAAAAACCAGTCAACCACCGCTGCTGAGACCAGCACAAATTTATTATCTAATCTCAATTTGATCCTTGCCGTTAGAGGCCAATCCTTTTTACTCTTCTCTATCCATTCTCCTAAGAAAATATTCCAAACTTTTTATCTCCTCAAGCCACCTAAAAGGATCCCTGCCCCTCCCTCTCAGTAGAGGAAGTTGCCAATAATACTGCTTTAAAAAATTGAATCCCCTTTTTTCCCCAACTCGACAGTCACATCACCTCAACATGACTTCTCACTTCTGCTTTTTTCCAGTCTCATAAGAAGATGTCCTTTTTGTAAATATCAGTCCCTCCCCACCTCCATTTGTGCCTTTAATCCCATCCTCTCAAGTCTCCTCCAGATCCTGTACACTTTAGTCATTCCCATTTTCACCCTAATCTTTAATCCGTCCCTATCAACTACTTCCCTGCTGCTTATAAACATGTCCAGATCTCCATCATTCTTTGAAAAAAAGAAAAAACAAAACCAAACCTTCACATGACCTACTACGTCTTCAAACGGTGGTTCAATATCTCTTCTCTTTTTCATAGCCAAACTCCTAGAAATAAGCTGTCTATACTTGTTACCTTCACTTTCTCAGATCCCACTCAGATCTCAACCTCTTACAGTTTTTTTTATTATTTTGATATATTTGGGTATGTTGTGATATATTTGGGGATATATTCATATAAAATTATGAGAAGGTAGAATATACCTTCTCATAATATAATAAGATATAAGAATATACCTTCTCATAATATATAAGAAGTTTTAAGGTGATGAGGCTCAGCAAATATATATGAAAGAGAAACAAATAAGGAGATACAGTGAAAAAAGGATAAGAATTGTAAGTCAATACAGTAAATGGAAATATCAGTAATTTGAGTACGACTTAAAGTCATACCAAGTAAAAGCACATGTTTTGCTGAGTCATCAGGTTTAATCAGCTGATCATTTACCAGAAACTCAAATCAAAATTTGAAGGAGTGTGACATTATTACCATGGCCCACAAAAGGGTTTGCAAAATTTGTTTGATATTCCTTCAAGTTAAAATATTTTCTTTTAATAAATATTTTTTTATCTATAGTACATATTATATCATATTTTAGATAAACTAATACATCAAGAAATATTTATTCAAAGAGTCCAGTTGTAACATTTGTTATAATAACCACTATGTTAATTAATATGCTATCTGTACCAGCCTCAATGGAGATTTTTATTTGTGCCCGGCAAAAAAATTTCCTCCTGAAGTTTCAATATCTGTTTATTTTTGAAAGGCAGAGTATAAGCTAATTTTGTTTTTTCCAGATGCTCCCAAGTTTGTATCAAACCAAACAATATATTATTCTTGGGAAGGAAATCCCATCAACATAAGTTGTGACGTGAAAGCTAATCCACCAGCATCAATCCTATGGAGTAGAGAAAAATTATTATTGCCGTCCAAAAATACCACCAATTTAAAGACTTACAGTGCAGGAAGAAAGATGATTTTAGAGGTAAGTGTTTAAATATTGATTGTTTTATAGGTAAGTGTTCTTAAATCAGTTTCATGGAATGCCTAATAATAATTATTAATATGCAGTTGTACATGATTGCAATCAAATTTACATATAATTATTTAAATATATTTCATAAATATACAGTGGAGTTACTGATTTTTTTTAGTCATATGTGTTTTTCTTTCTTTGACATTACCTATGATTTCATTAGTATGGAGAAGAAACTTCCTGTACAAATATAATTTAGCACGTGTTCTCCAAGTTCTGGTCTCGGGTACTTGAGAGGTTAAGTGGCCTGCTTAGGTTTCCATAGCCAGTATTTATAATAGGCAGAATTGAACCCAGGTTTTCCTGATTCCAAAGGCTGCTCTCTATCTACTACTCCATGCTGCCATTTTGGTATCTCCCAAAATGGGCAACTGGCCTTTGCTTGAACACCTTCAGCTAGGAAGAACACACTGTCTCCCAAGACAGCTTCTCTCAGTTTTAGATAACTCCTTATTAGAAAGTTTTTCTTTATATAAAATCTGAATTCTCTTCTTTGTGACTTCCATTCCTCATGGTTTGCCTTCCAGAGCCAAGCATTGTCAGTGTTTCTGGAATGGATATGTCAATCAACTACTTTATGGCACCACTCTTCATCTTAGTAAATTCTGAAACCAAAATGCCTTCCCTTAACCACCACTTCCTTATGTGTTGTCTTCTTGCCACTAGAATTTAAGTTCTTTGAAGTCGGAGACTTTCTCTTGTATTTGTAGATCTAGCCTTTAGTACAGTGCTTGGAACATAGTAAGAACTTAAAATGTTTTCATTCTATCAGCCATTCATTCTTACTTGTAACAGCCTTTCACATACTAAAAGATAGCTGTCATATCCCCCAAGTCTTCTCCAGGCTAAACGTCCCCAGTTGCTTCACATGATCTTTATATGTAGGAGACTACTAGGTGATACAATGGATAGAGCACTGGACTTGGAGTCAGGAAGACTCAAATCTGCCTTAGACACTAGCTGTGTGACCCTGGGCAAGTCATTTAACTTCTGTCTGTCTCACTTTCCTCATTTGTAAAATGGGGATAATAATAGTGTCTGCCTCCTAGGGTTGTCGTGAGATAATATTTGTAAAGCTTTTTACAAACCTTAAAGCATCATATAGAGGTTTTTTTATTAGCTATATGTCCTGGATTCCTAGTCCTGAGCTCTCCTCTGAATATTCAGTGTCTTTCCTTAAATTTGATGCCCAGAACTGAACATCACAGTCTATATAGGATGCTACCAAGGGTTTTTATGTACATGCGTGTTTGTATATGTGTATGTGTATAAAATTATTAGATTTTCCCCAGTGTTCTAGCTTATTGAGACATATTTGAATATTGACCCTGTTATTATCATATTCCAAAAAGTTTCTTCTCCTGGGAGATGCTGCCTCTACCTTACATACGTTCCCTCCTTCTGAACTGCATAAGAAATTTTCATGGTTTCAGTGTTTATACATGGCCTTACTAGCCAATCCCCTCTTTTTCCCTTCCTGTGATTTTAGAGATGAGATCTAAACAGACAAATATGCCTACATCTCCCCATTCTGAAAAATCCTTACTTGGTCCATCCATCTCTACTATCATCCCACATCTTTCCTTCTTTTTCTTGGCCAAACTCCTTGAGAAGGCAATCAGCTCCTTTTCTTTTCCCCTCATTCTTTTCTTAATTATCTGCTATCTGGTATCTGACTTCATTATTCAACTGAACCTGCTCAGTCCAAAGTTACCAATGATCTCTTAATTGCCAAATCTAATGTCCTTTTCTCAGTCCTCATCCTTCTTGGCCTTTAACACTGATGATCACCTTCCCCTGATAGTCTCTTTCCTAGGTTTGCATGACACTGCTGTCTCCTGTTTCTCTTCCTTCCTTTCTGACCACTCCTCAGCCTCTTTTGCCTCGTCTTATCCAGGTCATTCCTGCTAATGGCGAGTGTCTTCCAGGGCTTTGTCCTAGGTACTCTTCTCTCATCAACTCTTATGGTTTCAATTATAATCTCTATGCAGATAATTTTCATATTTACTTATCTAGCCCTAAACTTTCTCCTAACCTCCTGGTTCACATCTGTAACTACCTGTTGGACAAGTGAATGTCCTGTAGAAATCTTAAACTCAACGTGTCCAAAACTGAACTCATTATTGTTACACCCCCAAAACTTTTCAAATTCTGTAATATTATTGAGAGCACTATTCTTCTTCCAATCACCCAGGATCACAACTTAGATGATGTCCTTGAATCTTCACTCTCTCTAACCCACCCATATCCATTAAATTGCCATTTTTGACATTTCTACCTCCATAACATCTCATATACCTCCTTCTCTCAACTTATACTGTCACCACCCCAATTAGGGCCTTTATCACCTCACAGCAGGACTATTGCAATGGCCTTCTTGCATCGTATCTCCTCCCCTGCACCTCCAATCCATCCTCCACTCAACTATCAAATTGATCTTCTGAAGTGTAAGTCTGACTTTTCACCCCATCAGAGCTCCCATTCAATAAGCTCCAATAATTGTCTATTACCTCCATGATAAAATCTTCTGGTTGGCATACAAAGTCCATCATAACTTGGCCATGCCCTACTTTTCTAGTGTTTACATCTATCTTACTCCACAAACTCTGCAATCTAGTGAAACTGGTCTCTCTACAGAGACTAGCCTCTGTACCATTTCTTACAAAAGACCCTCTATTTCCTGACTCTGTGCATTTTCAATGGCTGTCTCCCTTGCCTGAAATGTTTTCTCTTTTCATCTCTGCTTCCTAGTTTCCCCAGCTTCCTTCAAGTCTCTGCTAAAGTCCCACCTTCTGTAAGAAGCCTTTTCCCAATTGCCCACATTTGTTGATTATCTCCAATTTTTATCTTGTTCATACATAACCAATTTCCATGTTATCTCCCCCATTAAACTGCAAACTCAGTGAAAGGAGGGACTGTCTGGGGCAGTGAGGTGGCGCAGTAGATAGAGCTCCAGCCTTGGAGTTAGGAGGACCTGAGTTCAATTCTGGCCTCAGACATTTCACACTTTCTAGCTGTGTGACCTAGCAAGTCACTTAATCCTGATTGCCTCACAAAAAAAAAAGTTTTCATTTTTCTTTCTGTCCCCAGCACTTAGCCTTGTCCCAATGCCAAGCACATGGTAAGCACCTAATAATTGCTTATTGACTGACTGGCTGACAGATGGCTGAACAAGAACTAGCCTTCTCCCTTCCCTTGCATTTTTTCCTTGGCCATACATAATGCAGAGGTGTTGACATGCTCCATTGGTTCGTGAAGATAGACTTCTGGCAAAATGGCCAAGTAAAAGATTGAACATTACTCTAATTACCATTCACACCCACAAAAATGCAAAATGAAGAATAATAACTAAAAAGAGGAGAAAAAAGGAATTCATATAAGCTAAGACTCAGAAAAATTGTTTTAAAACCCTCGGGACCATATTATCAGCTCCACACTATATTATCTACATACCTGCCCATATCCTACCTTGAGTATCCTCTGCATCATGAGTTCTAAGCAGCAGTATCTAATGTGGACCTAGAGAAAGTGGATTGCTAAGAATAACAGTAGAAAATGAAGTCACCTACCAAAATTTTCTCCAGTCACCCTAACAAAGATTAATACCGTATGATCTTCTCTACTTTTTAATTCTATTCCCTTCATGCTTGCCTGCTCCCACCCCCCCTAATGCAGGCTTCTTTCTATGGGATGTGGAAGCTCTAGAAAGAAGCTACTGAGATGGGATGAGGTTGGGACTGGGACTGTGGCCCGTTTAGGCATCCACCACAAAAGATTTTTGCCAACCACCCCAACATCATCATAATCTAGCAGTGTCTCCCAGTCACAGAATTTCAACTCAAATTAGCCACCAGTCAACTAGTGGAAGATTAGAGGTTATAGCCCTACAGAGGAAAAAAAAATAGCTGAGACAGAAGAAATAAAGTAAAAAAGAGAACAGTTTAGCTGTAACTACAGCCAGCATCCTAAAAAACAAATGTGGTTGGAAGTGTGAATAAAAGAACTGAAAGATGAAAAAATGAGTAGAATAGAAAACTTAGAACAGAAAGGAATCCTTTCCAAAGCATAGGAGATCCTTTAAAATAATAGTAATGGCTGATGCTATTAGAGAGTGCTTTGAAGGTTTGCAAGGTGCTTTATATATGTTATTTCATTTGATTGTCACGATAACCTTGTAAGGTAGGTGCTCTTATTGTATTCTGACAGAAGAATAAGCTGAAGTTTAAAGAGGTTAAGTGATTTGCCCAGGGCCACGCAACCAGTAAGTTTCTGAGGCACCATTTGAATTCTGGTCATCCTGATTTCAAGTCCAGCATTCAATCTGCTGTCCCACCTAGCTATCTTAAAAACATCAGAGGAAACAAAACTAAAAAAAAAATCCAGTGATGCAACAAAAACAGTACAAAAACCATTACAGTAATTTTTAATTGGAAGAATATAAAATTCCTTCTGTCAAAAAACTGGCCCAGAGAATAGAGTTCAGAGAGAGAATCTAAGAATTATTAGGCTCTCAGAAGATCATGTGGGGAAAAAATAAACTGAATGCTGTATGTCTAGAAATCATAATTGCCACAGAAATATTGGTACCACTGGGCAAAATGAAAAATAGATAGAGTTCACAGGGAGACAACCAATGTGATGGCCAAATTTCTGAACTCCTAGCTCCAAGAAAGCGTATTGCGAGTTCAGAGGAACAACAAATAAACCAAAAAAACAGACTAGGTATCAAAGATCACCAGTCAAAATTGCGTTAGAATTAAGTATCAGCGATTGGATAAGAAAGAAAAGATCAGACTATGATGTTCTGAAAGTTAAAAAGAAATGACTTGTTCATGAGAATAACTGATCTGATAAGGGGAGCTGGGAGTGAGGAAATGAACTTTTAACAGAGCATTCTTATTGAAAAAAAAATTAGGGCCAAGAAGAGCCTTTGACAGGCAAATGCAAAC